ACAGGCCCTCGTCTAGATCAAAAATCCCTTTGTGTAGCAGTGGCCTTCCGTCTTGGTGCCCCAAATCACACTGAATACAAGTGTATTTGCAACAGAGTGGAAGCAGTCCAATATGGACTGCATGGGTTGCACTGCAGAAGCTCCAAGGGCTGGCATGCAAGACACAACGAGGTCAATGACATCATCAAGAGGAGCCTCGTCTCAGCTCAGTGCCCAGTGAAGAGAGAAGCTCGCATCCTAGGGGACCAAAACCCGGATGACCCCGTAATTCGCCCAGATGACATCACAATATACTCCTGGAAAAGGGGCAAACAGCTGGTGTGGAACTACACATGTATATCCACCCTGGCAGACACCTACATACACTTCGGTGCTGATCAAACAGGTGGGGCGGCTAACCACAGGGAAACAGCAAAATCAATCAAATACAGGCGATTGGAAGGTCAATACACCTTTGTTCCCATAGCGTCTGAGACGCATGACCCCGGGGTAGGGATGCCTAGGGATTTTTCAAAGAATTAGGTTCCCGACTCATTGACACCACCAGAGACCCAAGGGCTGCCAGTTTTTTGTTTCAGCGCCGCAGTGTAGCGATTGAGAGGGGAAACACCTGCTGCGTCCTCAGTTCCTCTCCGGAAGCGGAGGAGCTCAAAGAGATCCATAACCTGTAAGGGTTCATTGTATTAAAAATGTACATCTTGTAACCTTTATATATCTAACAAAGCACAACAAAACACAAAGAGAAGGGGGTATATACACATATAAACTGTATTGGAGGGGATCTTAACATCCCCTCTAATGCGTTAATTGTGTGTGCTTTCCTCTGAGACTAAGGGTTCTCTTCTTCCAGTCAGAGATGGTACTCCTTTCCATAAAAAATTATATATATATATATATATATTATATATATATATATATATATATATATATACATATATATATATATATATATATATATATATATATATATGTGTCGTACCTAGTAGCCAGAACGCACTTCTCAGCCTACTATGCAAGGCCCGATTTGCCTAATAAGCCAAGTTTTCATGAATTAATATATTTTCTCTATTTTTTTTCTTTTGAAATGATAAAGCTACCCATTTCATTATGTATGAGGTAATTTTTTTTTATTTGAGTTAAAATTAACGTAGATATATGACCGAACCTAACCAACCCAACCTAACCTAACCTAACCTATCTTTATAGATTAGGTTAGGTTAGGTAGCCGAAAAAGTTAGGTTAGGTTAGGTTAGGTAGGTTAGGTAGTCGAAAAACAATTAATTCATGAAAACTTGGCTTATTAGGCAAATCGGGCCTTGCATAGTAGGCTGAGAAGTGCGTTCTGGCTACTAGGTACGACATATATATATATATATATGTCGTACCTAGTAGCCAGAACTCACTTCTCAGCCTACTATTCAAGGCCCGATTTGCCTAATAAGCCAAGTTTTCCTGAATTAATATATTTACCATAATTTTTTTCTTATGAAATGATAAAGCTACCCTTTTCACTATGTATGAGGTCAATATTTTTTATTGGAGTTAAAATTAACGTAGATATATGACCGAACCTAACCAACCCTACCTAACCTAACCTAACCTATATTTATAGGTAAGGTTAGGTTAGGTAGCCTAAAAAAGCTAGGTTAGGTTAGGTTAGGTAGGTTAGGTAGACGAAAAAACATTAATTCATGAAAACTTGGCTTATTAGGCAAATCGGGCCTTGCATAGTAGGCTGAGAAGTGAGTTCTGGCTACTAGGTACGACATATATATATATATATATATATTATTAAATATGACCGAAAAAGTAAGATTAATAATTCTAACACGAATTTTCTCAATCTTTCGTACATTACGCTTCACTGTTGGAGGTAAATCAAAAATTAATTCTCCAAAATTCATTTTTATTTCTAGTCTGACGCGACACGGGCGCGTTTCGTAAAACTTATTACATTTTCAAAGACTTTAGTTCACAAATACACAACTGAATAGAACTTACGTATCTCAGATTTTATATCTACATTTGAGTGAGGTGGGAGGGGTGATGTGGCATTAACACAAGACAGAACAAGAGGGGATATTAATAGGGTATTAAAAGTATCAACACAAGACAGAACACAAACAATGGGTATTGAATAGAAGTGTTTGTAGAAAGCCTATTGGTCCATATTTCTTGATGCTTCTATATTGGAGCGGAGTCTTGAGGTGGGTAGAATATAGTTGTGCAATAATTGGCTGTTGATTGCTGGTGTTGACTTCTTGATGTGTAGTGCCTCGCAAACGTCAAGTCGCCTGCTATCGCTGTATCTATCGATGATTTCTGTGTTGTTTACTAGGATTTCTCTGGCGATGGTTTGGTTGTGGGAAGAGATTATATGTTCCTTAATGGAGCCCTGTTGCTTATGCATCGTTAAACGCCTAGAAAGAGATGTTGTTGTCTTGCCTATATACTGGGTTTTTTGGGGCTTACAGTCCCCAAGTGGGCATTTGAAGGCATAGACGACGTTAGTCTCTTTTAAAGCGTTCTGTTTTGTGTCTGGAGAGTTTCTCATGAGTAGGCTGGCCGTTTTTCTGGTTTTATAGTAAATCGTCAGTTGTATCCTCTGATTTTTGTCTGTAGGGATAACGTTTCTATTAACAATATCTTTCAGGACCCTTTCCTCCGTTTTATGAGCTGTGGAAAAGAAGTTCCTGTAAAATAGTCTAATAGGGGGTATAGGTGTTGTGTTAGTTGTCTCTTCAGAGGTTGCATGGCTTTTCACTTTCCTTCTTATGATGTCTTCGACGAAACCATGGACAAGACAGGTACAAGAGGAGTGTTGTTAACGCATATGTCGACCGTGCTCTCAGCCACAGCTCAGAATGGAAGCAAGTCGACGAAGAACTCTGTAGGGTAAGGCAGGTCCTAGTCAATAACGGCTTCTCCAATGGTTTCGTCGAAGACATCATAAGAAGGAAAGTGAAAAGCCATGCAACCTCTGAAGAGACAACTAACACAACACCTATACCCCCTATTAGACTATTTTACAGGAACTTCTTTTCCACAGCTCATAAAACGGAGGAAAGGGTCCTGAAAGATATTGTTAATAGAAACGTTATCCCTACAGACAAAAATCAGAGGATACAACTGACGATTTACTATAAAACCAGAAAAACGGCCAGCCTACTCATGAGAAACTCTCCAGACACAAAACAGAACGCTTTAAAAGAGACTAACGTCGTCTATGCCTTCAAATGCCCACTTGGGGACTGTAAGCCCCAAAAAACCCAGTATATAGGCAAGACAACAACATCTCTTTCTAGGCGTTTAACGATGCATAAGCAACAGGGCTCCATTAAGGAACATATAATCTCTTCCCACAACCAAAACATCGCCAGAGAAATCCTAGTAAACAACACAGAAATCATCGATAGATACAGCGATAGCAGGCGACTTGACGTTTGCGAGGCACTACACATCAAGAAGTCAACACCAGCAATCAACAGCCAATTATTGCACAACTATATTCTACCCACCTCAAGACTCCGCTCCAATATAGAAGCATCAAGAAATATGGACCAATAGGCTTTCTACAAACACTTCTATTCAATACCCATTGTTTGTGTTCTGTCTTGTGTTGATACTTTTAATACCCTATTAATATCCCCTCTTGTTCTGTCTTGTGTTAATGCCACATCACCCCTCCCACCTCACTCAAATGTAGATATAAAATCTGAGATACGTAAGTTCTATTCAGTTGTGTATTTGTGAACTAAAGTCTTTGAAAATGTAATAAGTTTACGAAACGCGCCCGTGTCGCGTCAGACTAGAAATAAAAATGAATTTTGGAGAATTAATTTTTGATTTACCTCCAACAGTGAAGCGTAATGTACGAAAGATTGAGAAAATTCGTGTTAGAATTATTAATCTTACTTTTTCGGTCATATTTAATAATATATGTCTACAGGAAAGACTGCTACCAAAATATACTAATATATATATATATATATATATATATATATATATATATATATATATATATATATATATATATATATATATATGTCGTACCTAGTAGCCAGAATGCACTTCTTTGCCTACTATGCAAGGCCCGATTTGCCTAATAAGCCAAGTTTTCATGAATTAATGTTTTTTCGACTACCTAACCTAACCTAAGCTAACTTTTTCGGCTACCTAACCTAACCTAACCTATAAAGATAGGTTAGGTTAGGTTAGGTAGGGTTGGTTAGGTTCGGTCATATATCTACGTCAATTTTAACTCCAATAAAAAAAATTGACCTCATACATAATGAAATGGGTAGCTTTATCATTTCATAAGGAAAAAATTAGAGAAAATATATTAATTCATGAAAACTTGGCTTATTAGGCAAATCGGGCCTTGCATAGTAGGCTGAGAAGTGCGTTCTGGCTACTAGGTACGACATATATATATATATATATATATATATATATATATATATATATATATATATATATATATATATACCAGTATTATATGGTATATAAGAATAATATACTGGTGTATATTACACCAGTATACTTATGTAATATATATACTTATGTAATTTCACTAACTCTTTGTACCCTCTTGTAAATACAATTATTATTATTATTATTATGTTATCTCTAAGCAATACTGGAGATGCTGGAACTTTCATGACTAAATGTGGGTTTAGCTCGTACGAGACTCTTTAATATAGTGGCAAGTGTCAATTCTTCCCTCATGTAAATTATTCTTGAGCGACATTTTGAATAACTTCTGGTTTGTTCAAAGTCGTCGTGGGAAGTTAATTATTAGGCAAAGTAATCAACTAAGGACTTAAGAAACACAAAGTAAAATGGTTTGCATATTTAACATTTGGAAACCAACTTTCAAACCCCTTGTAAAGTGAATTAATTAGTCCACTAGTTGATGTGTTTTGAATATACAAATGTTACAGTTTCTTAGTAGAAAGTATTTCATGCGAAATATGGAAAATACAAATTAAAAAATAGAATAATAACAATATTTTAATATATAAATGGTGTATAAACATTCAGCAGGAATTACAGGAACAAAACAGTGGAAGAAATTATTAGAACCTGGCAATAATACGGAGACCAAGGAATATCACAGCAACACAGTTGACCATATACACCTGAGCGGGACATGGGATTAATACTGCAGCTTGGTACGTATACGCATAAAAGATATGTCATTCTTATTTCATGACTACAACTATTTCCTGTCCCAGCGAAAATCGGAAAATTTTACTATAAATCTCCGGTAAGTTTCGCTCCTAGATGAGGGAATTTCTCGCAAGAAAATTTGTTATCCCCAAGTCACAGAACACTAGAGAGGAATCACAAGGCCACAGTTTTCCACTGTGACATCTGTGATGGGCTTGTGCCTGGCGGCCGACCTGAGAGTGCCGAGGCCGCTCGTGACCTGACCAAATCCCGTATCAGTCTTCTTGTGCGGCCAGGCACTGAGGATGATCCCGAACACACCCAGCCTCTGCGTCTGTCTCTCATGGGCTCCCACCAGTAGCCCGGCCACAGCTTCCCTCAGGTACACCTCGCCACTAAACACTCCCTCCACAATGGCAGCTCCGCCCGTACCGTTATTGTTCTCATAGTCACCCCCTCGAATGATTTCTCCCTTCTCCCCGACCCTGTCGACATCGAAGAGTCGCGTCTTGAAATAGGAGGGCCCCTTCTCTCCAGAACACAGGTAGAGGAACTGCTGGGCCCGCGCGGTGTCCCCTAACATGCGGAGGTAGACCCGGCCGTGTGTATGGCCACCCCAGCCCAGGTCTAGGAAGGCTGACGGGGAGTCCTGTGGCACCAGAGACCTCACGCTCCAGTACTGCCGGACAAACAATTACAATAAACCACCTCAGCATCTCACCTAGTATTAAATATTAATATTCTAAAGGTCCACATTATTAAATGAAGAATGATTGAAAAGAGTAAGTTTATACATAAAATGAATATGAAAATAAACAATTTAACCATAAACAAACTATGTAATATAGCCTTGGTATTTACAGCACCGAGGCTCTAGGTACTGTTGGATGGTTCTCGAGCAATATGGTTGATACTATCTTCACCGATCAGTGAGAACATCAGTTATGACCTGTAGTGATCCACAAGCTCCTAATTATTATATGGATTTGTATGTAATCTTTTTTGTGTATTAAATATTCAAGTAAGAAGACAATGAGTCACAATAACGTGCCTGAAGACATGATGACCAAACACATCAGGAGGTGGAGAGACGACGACGTTTCAGTCCGTTGTAATATCCCTCAATGTCCCCTTTGTTATCACCCTGAACCTTTTAATTGTAACCCTTCTCTGTACTCCCTGGAAAGTACAGAAAATAGACGTCGAAATTGTACCCCTCAAGGTGAAAAAGATTCATCATGAACCGGGACAATTACGGTGTTTGTATGGAAGCATGATATCTCGGTTACCAAGAGGCAACAGTTTACATGTATATTGCGACGGGTCGGTGGCGGAAGATGGCAGGGCAGGGTGTGGTGTCCTAATAAGGGATTATACGGAGTTTGGGACTGTGGACAGGATAATTGAACTCCGGCTTAGTAATTATATATCATCCACACAAGCTGAACTGCAGGCCATTCTGGCGTGTTTGGAGGAAGTACGTCATGACGACAAAAATGTTTTTGTATTTGTCGATAGCCGAGGAGCACTGGAGTCCTTAAACAGTCGAAACCCAGTCTTCATGTCTATAGTTGAGGACTGTAAGAGAAGAATAACTGAGATACAGCTGAAAGGTTATAGTGTGAAATTCATGTGGATTCCATCTCATGTTGAAATAGTGCTCAACGAGGTGGCGGATGACTTGGCCAAACGTGCCACATCAAAACCACAAGTTGACATTGAATGTGAATTCACAATGAGACAAATAAGAAGCAAAATCAGAAATATTCAGGCACAGGCGGGAGTGGAGAGGAGAGAGATAATGTATGAGAGAAGTCAAACCATGCAACACTACATGTATGCGAGTCAAAACACCCATTTCACTTATGGTAAAAGGAGAAATGCTTGGAGTGACTCTGTGTACATGCGGCTCAGGCTTGGGTACAAATATTACTGGGAATATGGGATAGATGTTCATGGTAATGACACGAAGTGTAAACTATGTGGTATGTTAAGGTCTCACACCCTTGCCCATTATGTTCTTGATTGTCCGTTGATTAATGTATATAGAAACACTGAGATAAGGACTGTTCCTGAACAAATAGCCTGGATGTGTCACAACGGAAAGGTTGATGATATTCTTGAGAGATATAAGAATTTTGCACCAAGATTGTAATATTTTGTTGAATTATCTGCAGGTGTCTTGCAAATTGTCTATACAGTATACCTAGGTCATAAAAGTATTTATGTGTACGTCTGATACCATACTACTTGTGAGGGAGGAAATGTATATGTTTACCTCTCAGAATGTTTGGTAATGTGTTTATTTGTGATGTGTATCTATGTATATATTAACACGTTGTACTGAACGGGGTGAGAATAGCTTGAGCTACCTCATCCCTTTGTGTGTATTTTACCTCAATAAACTTATTTCAATTTCAATTTCAATTTCTCTGTACTCTGTGAACGGCTCTCTCTTCGCTCAATACCCCAGCTTAACTCTGTTACAGTCCAGTATGACCCCTCACTGGACGGTCACGAATATAAACTGAATATTAAATGATGAGGACATAACAAGGATAGGGGTTATTAATTTATTACTAATTATAAAATAAAAAAACATTAAACACTGCCACTACTTGGATGGAGGGCGGTGTGCAGGACAAACATATAAATTTTGACACTAGCTCTCCACATATGTCAGTTGCTTAATTTAGAACCTGTACTTGAGGTCGATCTCGAACCCATTGTTGATGTGATGACTTATATTGAATTTTGTAAATAGCTCATCAAGATTGTAACTTGCTTAGCTAAATGAATTGTGGGGTTCAGTCCCTGAGCCCATTATGTGCCTCTGTAACCCTTTCCACCACCGCCCACAAGATGGGTATGGGGTGCATAATAAATGAACTAAACTAACTTCCAAACATAAATGAATGTGTCTAAAATTATTGAGACACTAGGAAGGAAGGGACTCAATAATCAGGGAACTCAAAGGGTAGTATGAATTTCAGTATTAAATTTTTGGGAAAATTAGTTCGTTTATTTTACGTTACGTATTTAAATCCAAGGGCAACTTCAGTATCTATTAACTGTAGGAGAACATGGGGGGGTTTCCAATTCAACACATAAAAACGACAAGTAGCAAAAATATATCAAAGGGGAGTTAAGTGAATACCACCGGACAAGTTAAACAATTTTTTTAATTAGGGATGAGTGTCAGACGATGTTGAGACAGGATGTGATAGAGCCTAGTGCATCACCATGGTTGTCGCCAGTGGTGCTGGTACGTAAACCGGATGGTAGTTATAGGTTTTGTGTTGACTACCGAAAGATAAACGAAATTACTAAAGGTGATGTGTATCCCTTGCCACGGATACAAGAAATAATAGATCAGTTTGGGGCAGCCAAATACTTTTCCACTCTGGATGCGAAATCTGCGTATTCGGCCATCCCAGTCGCTGAGAAAGATAGAGAGAAGGCCGCCTTTTCTGATGGGGTTCATACTTATCAATTCAAGCGGATACCTTTCGGGTTAAAGACAGAAATGACCCAAGGGGGGGGAGGGAGGCAAGCGAGAGAAGGGAAGGGGAAGAGGAAGGAGAAGAGAAAGGGGGGAAGGGGGAAGGGGAAACGGGGGAAGGGGCTATGGTGTGCATATATCATTACAACTCCCCCTCTTCAGAAATTAAGAAATTTGTGTGTAAAGAAGTTTAAGGCACAAAATTCTTATCCAGAACCCTGCCCTATCATAATCATTAACTCCAAAAACAACATTTAACTCAACAATAAATAACCCAATGCCTCAAAACAACAGAAATATTTATCTAATCCTAGCTAATTCCATACAATCCTCCAAAACAAAAAATGGCACCCCTAAAAGGTGTGTCCCAGCATGTATACATACATAACAAACACAGTAATAATACATAAAACATAAGGACAGAGACCGCCCCTATAACACTCGCTAACCACTTGGACACGTTGGTAAGTATGCAAAAATTGAAAGCGCGCTCACTGTCACGAAGCCGAATACTCAGAAAGTAGTCTCCGCACTAATTCTTAATTAACCAAGTATTTCTTTTCTCAAAATTATAAATTAAATACCGACGTGTAGTTCGCTTATCACTTGAACTGAATATACTACTCGCGAGACACATAGACACTCGGTTGAGCGCAAACAATTACTGAGCGCTGTTACACTGGGCGCTGAGTAAAACCGCTAGAAAATTCAGAGTCCCAACGCTAATTCGCTTAAATAACCAAAATTCGACTTTTGGTCTCTCAAAGTTCTAACTCGGATCACTATAATCGCACACTTGAATTAACACTGACGACCCGATGATCGTATGACCAGGCACAAAACTAGAATTTATTCCGAAATTGAGATTTTCCAAGCGACTTTGAAAAATGTCATCACAAAAATTTTTCCGCGATTTCACTGATTTCAATTTTTTGACTGACTTCACTTAATGCACCGCACTTCACTTGAAAACAGTAAACCACTCACCTTTTAGTAATTCTCTCAAAGAATTAATACTGCACAATACGAAAACAAAAATTCCCGACTTAAAACATGTAAAACAAATACTTAGAAAAAATAATACCACTTATATATGAGAATTACGTAAACAAGGGGGAACACTTAACTAACGAAGGGATACTTAACCTGAAAGGGAACTTAATATACAGGGAACTTAATTTAGTACGTAAGGAAATCTCGATTTAACCTATAACCGTCCCGTCCCGGCCCGCCCTGTCGCTTTTCCAAGCCTAGGTAACCACATCCACCTAGATCCCGACAGTACCAAATAATCCTGTCCTTCGCGGTCAACGGTTAGACTAGATAACGGAATTACGGTGGTGTCGGACAGTTAAATCCGTCGGTTGTTCCGCTGCCAATTGTATAAACAAGTGTAATACATTCTATAGTAATTCATTTCTTCACCTTGAAATTACGAAAATGAGTTTTGGAGAACTCTTATTTCAGCAGATTAGCCCTGATGCTATGAAAATTGTTAGAGGGATAGAAGCCCTAAATCAGAAGATAGTAAATACAGAATATGCAGTCATATTCAATGAGACATGTTTGAAAGAAAACCTGCTGCCAGTATACACCAATATATATATATATATATATATATATATATATATATATATATATATATATATATATATATATATATATATATATACATATATATACATATATATATATATATATATATATATATATATATATATATATATATATATATATATATATTTATATATTATATATATGTGTGTGTGTGTGTGTACGTATATATATTATACACAGAATCTAAGAACGAAGGAAGAATTGAAACAGGAATTTCCTTAAGTATTAAGTACGAGAGTATTTAAGGAAATTCCTGTTTCAATTCTTCCTTCGTGATCTGACAGTCACATTTTTCATCACGTGTTAATTTTCGGGATTTACACTCATATATACACAATATATATAAAGAGTTCTTAGATTCTTGTAAAGTTACCAACTAGCACACAGCGTTTCGGGCAGTTCCTTAATCTTAATTTTCCCCGGAATACGACCCGCCAAATCGTCTAACAACCAGGTACCCATTCACTGCTGGGTTAAACAAGGCCTCAGTTATAGTTAGGTGCGAAGGTAAGTCTGGTCCCGGTTGTTAAGGTTGGAACACATGAGTATGTACTGTGAAGGGAAGAGTCAACAAAGCCAGGACTCAAGCTCATGTTGGACATGTTGTGTATCAGAGCCGATTCGACAAGACGACGTCTGTGAAGAGTAGAGGCAGGGCACATTATTTTTGGAAGGCCAATCTATAGGATGATTAGAGTCCCTAACATGACAGAAGAGAGCACTGTTTGTGTCTGAGTTTGTGTTTTTTTGTGTGTTCCTTAAGTCTGTCATTTAGTGTACGGCCAGTTTCTGGCCATACATACTCCTCAAGATATATGAAAAGGCTCTAGCTTTAAAACGTACAAAATAACACCGTGGCAAACATTCCCCAAATCTACCAGAACCTCGAATCGACGACAACTATTGCCAAAGATCTCACTACAATTATATGAGACCTGTTCTAATTATAGGATGAAAGGAAATAGCGTCAAATGCTACATCTAAGAGCTCCACCTGCTTGACAAGTGGGCTCATACCTTTAGGGAAGACATTTCCCCGAGACGAAGAGCCATATAAGATTAAATTAAACGTGAGGGCAACGGAAAAATCCACCATATAACCACAAAGCTGATACATAAGTATCTCGAAGAGATGAATCGAGTGATAAAAAAAGAATTTGATCTAATTTACATTGACGGATTTGCTAATCCTACTAATGGCATAACTGGAACACCATACTCTGTAACTAGGAATAATGATTTTCAAAATGGATTGAAGAAAAAACTTCGATTGAGAACAATGTCTTTTCAGTGGACGCAGAGCTGTCATTGTTATGGCTTTAGAAGACATTGAAAGGTAAACAAGGGAAGCAGTTATTTATACTGACTACAAAGCTCTAGAGGAGAATAGAGAGACAATTGCTGAAATAAAGAACTGAGACAATGCAAACCAATCAGGGAACGATGAAGTTACTGTGGATTCCTTCATATATTTGAATCTGTGGAAATGACCGAGTACTGTCTCCTGGGGAGACTATATTGAATACTTCGTCCCCAAGACTCTTCTGCTAGTTAGAAATATCATCAGGAAGCAGCACTGTGACAAGGTAACTGAAGAAAGAAGTATTAAAGAACAAGTCAGTGAATCTGTCCGCTTATATGATACAGTTGCAGCCGACAACCTCAATTATTATAGACGAGGTTACAGGGTAACCGAGGGAGAGAATCTGTAGAAGCAATAATTCTTCATGGACCCACGTACCAATGGAGATTCGGGATGCAAACTAACAATCAGCCGAACAGCAAAGTTGCAGAATCTGCGACACGAGAGATGGTCACTACATTGACCACAACCTGAAAGAATACCCACTTTTAATACATTATAAATATGGAAGAATAAACCCCATTGACTGAGTTAGGAAAACACTATTTGTCATATACAGACTATCCTCTTAAAAGATTGATAAAGCTAACCTAATTTGACGATTTGTTCATTTGAAACAGTTAAGTAATTCCCAACTGTGTCTGGGTACAAGTGACAAGATGGATAACCTAGCGGGCTTTCTTTCTGAATTTACATGAGTGTCACTATTTCTCTAGTGGCCTCGATGAGGACAGGAAGCCGGGGGCTTGTCAAATGTCCCCCCGTTTGCCCTGATAATTTTAACATGCTAGATCTTTTTGAAAGTTTAGTGCATGCTGTTACGGCGGTTGTGGCACTCACAGGTTAAGTGGCATTGCCCAATAAACTCGTCTATCGGGGTTAAATAAAAAATGCCTTCTTTTGCTACGCACTCGACTAATGTGCCCTCTTATTTGCTGATAAAGATTGCCGTCTTTATCAGCAAGCTTAGCTAAGTATCATATAATACCAAGATATTATTTGATTTGTAAACAATGTGAGAAAATACGTAACAAACTACAAAAACTTGGGGGCTCGTTTCTTAAAAAAAAAAAAACAAGGTTGGCAACTGAATAAGGTAGAGTACAACCCCCAGCTGACGCCTCAGCAGGAGCTGGGGTATATATATAGCCTACTGAGAGGTGTATCTTGAGCTGCACACGTCACCCGCTGTATCTCCACACTAACTTCTCTCCAGGATTACTGTAATGTTACGAACTGAGGCAGACTGTCAGATTAATCATCTTTGCTGACGATAGTCTTTAAACTTTACGCCTCATTAGCGTGTGTGTACACCAAGTGGTATACATTCTAATATAAATACTGAGAGGTATGTTTCTGTGCATATACAGTTTGTTATATACAGCGAGAGGTATCCCTCGCAGCATATAGACCAAGAGGCATATTCCTTATTATATATACAGAGAGCTGTACTCCTCTACATGCATACCTAAAGGTGTATTCCTCCTTAAATACACTGAGAAGTGAATACACACTGATTTTACTTCAATGCTTAACTCTGACGAGGATGAGAGGTTAGTGTTGAGAAGAGTATAGTGGTGTGGACGTACCGAGAAGATGAGTGCAGGGGGCGGGGGAGGCTGGTGTTGGAGTACGTGAAGATGAAGCAGACAGTCGTGGACACTCACTCTGGCCCACCGCCTCTCACCTTCACTCTCCTGCACCACGTACATCCTCTTGGCCATCTGCAGCACTCCTCGCAGATTCTGAAAGACCATCATTACAATCAACGCTCAGAATCAAGGGCTATAATTGGTTAGTAAACCCCCGCACTCTTACGTGGTTATTTATTCGAGTTCAGGTAGAGACTGATGTGATATGGATGAAATTAACTATCAGTTAATATGCAGAATAAGCCAGTACCTGAGGACCGAACTGGGGCATGGTCCTGTTGAAGATTGCCTGACGCTCTCTTTCTTGCTGGATGTGGTCGTTCACGTTGGCCAGACAGACCCGTGCTGCAAGCTTGGCACTGGCCAGTTCTCTCACTGTCGCTGCCTGGACTATGCAGGCCTCCGACTCCTTCAGCGACTCCACCCAGCAGTCCACCTCGGACATCTTGTCAGTCGCTTCTTTCTTCTTGGCCTCCACCTCTTGGATAACGTCCAGTTCACCCTGTAAAATTTCCCGAAGACTGGAGAGTGTATCATCATGCAGACTTTTATTGTTTTCCAGTTGAGAAATTTGGTTAGCCACCTCATTTTTGAGTCCCTGGAGGGTGAGATACATGGTGGATATGTTCTCCATGTGAGTCTTCTTCATTTCCTCTAAAGCTAAACTGACGGGTAATATATGACAGTTACCGTCGGGGGGGACGACATGGTCCATCACCAGGCACTCCTTGCACACCCACACATTGCACGTCATGCAGCGCTCACCCATCCGGGACACATGCGCGCCACACTCGCCCGCGTCCGTCACGCTCGCACTCTGGCTGCTGCTTGTGGAAGGCCCCGCCTGCGCCCCCTGCTGGAGACTTAAAGCTGCCAGGGTTCTGGAGAGTCTGAGCAGTGGGTAGTTTATGGGAAGAGCCACGGCCATGGTGGCGTAGAAGGGACGACGGCACTCAGGGCATTTGCGATTCCTGTTGATGATCTCTTGGACGCACTGAGTACAGACCGAGTGACCACACCCGAGGTTGCGCGGGGGGCGGCCCTCGTCGTACCGCTCCTGACACACGCAGCACCCCATCTCCGCCTCCTCCATTCTGTACAGTAAAAGAAAATGTTGCAGTTATCCCATGCCTCTGACAACTAGAACAGGCCGCCACTTAACTATTTGCTCACACACATGTGTAAAATATTTGGTTCCTGGATGGAGGTACCCTATCAGATACACAAGTCTTTGCTATAAGGTCTCCAGCAGGTGAAGTCCCAAAGATAGACCATGGGTCTCGTCCTGAACACTTCCAGGTGTGATAATTGCATGCAGGGATCCCCTCGGTTTCAACCTAATAGGTGTTATCATCGATGAGAAATTATATGACAAAAGAAACTGAATGAATGAATGGAGCAAAGAATACTCGAATCGGCATCTTATTCTCCTAAAATTATAGTTCTTTGGTTGTAGGTACAAAAATGGACACTTGCAGTGTTTGTCTGTCCAAGGATGAAGGCCAGACGCTTTACGAACTTTCACACATGAAGTATGTGGGGTAAGGGGGGTGTCATAGGCCAGTTGGGGTCGGCTCCAGTGCCACGCTTTCAGAAATATCGGCGTCTACACCCCACCCCCATGTGATTATTATGAAGTCAAGTCTGAAATATTGGTTGTGTTGTCTCTAAACTTATGTGGCACTTTTAGTGTTATGATATATATAATTTTTATGAAAAAGAAAGAGGGGGTGGGGAGAGGGAAGGAGAAGGGTTGACAGGGGGATGTTTGAGGAGAGGGAAGGAGAGAAGGGGAGAAGAGGTGAGAGGGAAAGAAATGTAGAGAAGGATGAGAGAGGGACAAGAAAGGTGAAGAGATGGAGAGGGACATTATGGAAGAAAGATGGAGAGAGGGGGAAGGAATACGACAGGGAGAGACAGAGAGAGAAGGGGGAGGGGGAGAGAGACCCGGGCATAGCCGGATACTCCTTCTAATTCATATATGTCTAACTTACAATTCCATGAGTGTAGCGATCCTACACTCATTATGTTACCCGGTAATGTGTTCCACAAGTTCACAACCTGCTGGTTTCCAATCCAGAATTTTAGAAACAATGATTTCTACTAAACAATAAAGGAAACAAATCCCTTTAGCCCAATAAAGTTAACAGACTTCTAGATGTCACCACTGCTAGGCTTAGGCTCGGCTACAAGTACCTCTGGGAGTTTGTAACATCTGCTGATGTAGATTTGACTAAATGTAAACTCTGTCAGCAGAACTATTCGCATACTTTGCTTCATTATATAATGGAATGTGAAAAATCGCGGAATTGAGAGATGACACCATCAACGGAGTCCAAGAAATGTGTAAGTACTTCTTTCATAATGATGTGATGCCAGGAATCTTTGCGAAGTATCCAAAATGTGCTTACTGTAGGTGCAGCCTGCACATGACTGTAAAGCTGCCGCCCAGTTGTGTGGGTGTGCAGCAAGACTAGTAACTGTGTGACTCACCATAGATGTAAAGTGCCTTGTATAGTGACTGTTGTGAACCTCTTGTTGAATCACTTGTGATACAAAAGATTATCGATGTGTATATGTATTTTGTAAATGATTGTATATATATGTACATGTATATATATATAACATTAATAATTGTGTAACTAGCTTCAAAAGATTGTTAATTGCTTAGCTAAACGAACTCTGGAGTTCAGTTCCCGAACCCATTATGTGCTTCTGTAACTCTTTCCACCACCGCCCAAGGGATGGGTATGGGGTGCATAATACAAAAAAGAAATAAGTACTAGCCTATCTAGATCGTTTTAATTTAATTCCCGCTCTCTATTTGTGTGTCATCTGCAAATCTATAAATGTTGTTCAATTCTACCTAAATTGTTAATGCATAAGGTACATATGGTTATCTTGAGATGATTTCGGGGCTTTAGTGTCCCCGCGGCCCGGTCCTCGACCAGGCCTCCACCCCCAGGAAGCAGCCCGTGACAGTTGACTAACACTCCAGGTACCTATTTTACTGCTAGGTAACAGGGGCATAGGGTGAAAGAAACTCTGCCCATTGTTTCTCGCCGGCGCCTGGGATCGAACCCAGGACCACAGGATCCCAAGTCCAGCGTGCTGTCTGCTCGGCCGACCGGCTCCCCTAACCGGTACTCCCCTAATATGGTACTTACATATGGTAACCAACATCACAGATTAAGAAAGTAATTAGAAACAGAGCAATGCAGATGATGTACAGTGACCACAACACAGCAGTTGCAACATCAGGATCTGCGGGTTGGTACAGGAATTCAACCAACTACGAACCACTTATTTTAATGAAAGGGAACAGTAGAACAACAGAAGTACACTTACATCGCATCAGGCCTGGATACCCATATGCATGGGAAATAGGCTTACAGGTTCCGGAAGATGAGGAGAAATAACAATGTGGAGAAATACCCGACAGACCACTGGAACATTATCCAACACAGTGAACAGTTACAAACCCATTAAAATTTCAACTTAGATTTAACAGAGCATAAGAAGTTGTTAAACACATGGGACAAAATCTAACTGAAGCGACCATACGAGTCATAAATACTCATACTCTGCCTAAGTAAAACAGAAACCAGCAACACTTAGTGGGCCAACCAGAGGCTGAGGGCCCGCGCAGGAATATCCCTGCGAAAAAAAAGGTAAACAACAGAGATCCCAGGACAGGGCCCCGGGGCACTCCACTTTACAGCGGTTTCCACTCTAGCTTCACTCCAGTTATACCAACTCTCGTTTCTTCGTATTAACAACGCCCTGATCCAACTTAATATACCTTCCATTTTTAATACCATGTACCTCTAACTTTCTAACAAGTCTCTCGTGAGGCACAGTGTCAAAGGCTCTCCAAAAGTCAAGATAAAGTATGTCGCTAATCTCTCCCTTCTGACTGCTTGAAACCTAGTGGATATTAATGAGAGTAAAGTTGTTAAACACGAGCGGCCCTTAGTAAAACCACGTTGTGAATCCTTTATTAATATTTGCATTTCAAAATGTAAATGAATGGCTTCTGTGATTAACGATTCAAGGAATATTTCCAAGATAGACGTTAAGCTAATTGGCCGATAGTTTACACAATTCGGCTCAATATTTACAACCATCCAAGATTGCGGTACTCTTCTGGCAAATACGTAAGACAGGTGGTAAGCTCTGGTCTCCTCTCCAAGTACGGTACTGAGAATATAATAACAATTGGCTGGTACCTACCCGCCTGGTAGCCACCTGATTCACGGTATGGTGTGGTAGTATACCCACAGTACGTGATAGTCACGTGGTTCATGAAATTGCGGTAGTATACCCACAGTACATGATAGACACGGTTCACGGTATTGAGGTAGTATACCCACAGTATGTGATAGACACGTGGATCATGGTACTGAGGTAGTATACCCATTACATAGTTGGCACTGGTTCATGTTATTGTGGTAGTATACCCACGTTTTATATTATGATTTCCTTGTTGACAGCATGCTGGGACTTGAAATATATTTTACCCATTAATAAACAAGATAAATTGTTTTAACGTGAAAACTTTACAACAGAAGGCGGATATTATTTAGCAAACAGTGAAATTTTACACATATATTGCCGCCCTGTTGAAGGCTGCCTAGGACGATCTGATTACACATGCCGCTGCCAGACGCACGAGGAGCCAACACCTTCCATGCATATTAAGACACCAACACTTAAATGTCTATAACTCAGATAAGGACATACTCATACACAGAGTTAAACATGCATCGTTAATGACGACCGAATTAACGACCTTGGTGGGTAGTGGGTACACTTATGACTGGGAATTTTAACCCCCTCAGTTCAGTCAACATGTGAGGGGTGGGGTGTTATGATGCTTATCTAACAGTGGCTGGTTAATAGTAACTACGGGAGAGTGAGGTCTAGCTCCTCAACCCCCACCTTGAAGGTGTGTGGGGAAGGTGTGGAGACTCACCTGGCTGCCGGTGACGACCACAGTTGGAGGTGTTGAGGTGCCTGCACGTAGGGGCCGCTGCCCTGCTGGCTCGCCCAGCTGAATGACTCAAGCCCCAGCTGATTGTCAAGGCCTTATTACTTGCTGCTCCGTCTGCTGCCCCCACCACTACTGTATGTGCCACCCGCGGCCCGCCAACACCCCCACCCGCAGCCCGCCTCCGCCACCACCCGCGGCCCGCCTCCACCACCACCACCCGCGGCCCGCCTCCGCCACCACCACCCGCGGCCCGCCTCCGCCACCACCATCCGCGGCCCGCCTCCACGACCACCACCCGCGGCCCGCCTCCACCACCACCACCCGCGGCCCGCCTCCACCACCACCACCCGCAGCCCGCTTCTACCACCACCACCCGCGGCCCGTCTCCACCACCACCACCCACGGCCCGCCTCCACCACCACCATCCGCGGCCCGCCTCCGCCACCACCACCCGCAGCCCGCCTCCACCACCACCACCCGCGGCCCGCCTCCGCCACCACCATCCGCGGCCCGCCTCCACCACCACCACCCGCGGCCCGCCTCCACCACCACCACCTGCGGCCCGCCTCCACCACCACCACCCGCGGCCCGCCTCCGCCACCACCACCCGCGGCCCGCCTCCACCACCACCACCCGCGGCCCGCCTCCGCCACCACCACCCGCGGCCCGCCTCCGCCACCAACATCCGCGGCCCGCCTCCGCCACCACCCGCGGCCTGCCTCCACCACCACCCGCGGCCCGCCTCCACCACCACCACCCGCGGCCCGCCTCCGCCACCACCACCCGCGGCCCGCCTCCGCCACCAACATCCGCGGCCCGCCTCCGCCACCACCCGCGGCCTGCCTCCACCACCACCCGCGGCCCGCCTCCACCACCACCACCCGCGGCCCGCCTCCACCACCCGCGGCCGCCTCCACCACCACCACCACCCGAGCCCGCCACCACCACCACCCGCGGCCCGCCTCCACCACCCGCGGCCCGCCTCTACCACCACCACCACCCGCGGCCCGCCTCTACCACCACCACCACCCGCGGCCCGCCTCCACCACCACCACCTGCGGCTCGCCTCCACCACCACCGCGTCCCGCCTCCACCACTACCCGCGGCCTGCCTCCACCACCACCACCCGGGGCCCGCCTCCGCCACCACCACCACCCGGGGCCCGCCTCCGCCACCACCACCACCCGCGGCCCGCCTCCGCCACCACCACCACCCGCGGCCCGCCTCCGCCACCACCACCACCCGCTTCCACCACCAGCTCTTAGCGGCAGCTAAGAGCCTTCGTGAGAACAAGGAGATAGTCGTCAGGAGAGGTGACAAGTCGCCAATATACGTCATTCTTAAAAAAGACGAATATCTGGCGAAAATGAACCTCATACTCTCTGACCAAACTAAATTCCAAAGGGTAACGAAGGACACTACAGCTGAATTGAAAACAAAGATAAACAGATTGATCGAAACTGAACGCCAAGAAATCCGGACTCCACCTACCAAAGATTATTGGGATTACAAACCTGTGTATGCGAATGGAATACACACAAGCCTGGAAACCCACTTCTGCCAATCATCAGCCAGATACCCACACCCACGTACAGACTGGCGAAGCTACTCAACGGCTTGCTAACTCCTTATGTACCTTGTGCATTCAGCCTGAAGTTTCCAAAGGAATTTGTTGACTTACTGCGGGGAACACGGGCCACAGGGATAAGAGCCTCGTTGGACGTAGAATCACTGTTTACCAACGTACCTGTGGATGAAACAATCGGGATGATAGCGGACGGAGTGTATCGTGATCCGGCCTGTACTCCTCTTGACATACCAGAAAACATTCTAAGGAAACTACTCCAAGCTTGTACTAAAGAGGCAACCTTCTTGAGCCCGGATGGGCACATGTATAAGCAAGTAGATGGGGTCGCCATCGGTTCTCCCCTAGGTGTCCTGTTTGCAAACTTCTACATGGGTACCATCGAACAGAAGGTCTTAGTTGACATGAACTTGAAACCTGCCATATACTGCAGGTATGTTGACGACATTTTTACATAGGTACCTGATGTCAGTGTTACCTACTTATGATCACATATAAATCATTAGTTCCCGTGGGAAAACTGATCACACAAAGAAATAAACAATCATTCCCACGATACGTTGGGCCTAACGCCAACACTGTAACATGAATGTACGTTTGCATAGAACATATAAGTATATCAATATTCATGCTTGTAATTTACATACAATTACAAATGTACATATTAATATATTTACTTACGTATCTATTAGGAGTACGTAACACTTCCACCTCCAAGAAAAAAAATGCAATGGATTGAAGATCAATGGCATTTTTTTCGAAGTAAAAATGTTAAGTAAAAAGAAACATTTCATTTATGGTACATCAAAACTTCTTGACAAAGCATCAGCAATAACATTTTGTCTGCCTGGAATATGTTTGATTTCTACATTAAATTCCTGCAAAAACAATGACCAGCGCAGAATTCGTTGGTTCTTGACTTTCATCATATTTATAAAGATAAGGGGGTTGTGGTCTGTAAATACTAACACTTTATTTCCTGATAAGTAAATCTCAAACTTCTTAATTGACAATATAAGACCCAACGCCTCCTTTTCTACCACGGAATAATTTCTCTGAGCTGCATTAAATTTCCTAGAGTAATAATACACAGGATGCTCAATCTGGTCTAAACCAACTTGAATAAGCACAGCACCTATTCCAACATCTGACGCATCAATGTGTAATATAAATGGTTTATCAAATTGGGGACTAGCAAGAATAGGTGAGGTGGACAATATGCCCTTTAGGTTCTGAAAAGCATTCTGACAATCTTGTGTCCACTGAAACTTTACTTGCTTGCGTAACAAATTAGTCAAAGGAGCAGCTACTGTTGAAAAATTTCTACAATAACGCCTATAGTATGCACACATACCAATAAACCGTTGGACTCCTTTCTTATTGGTTAACACTGGGTAGTCCACAATGGCTTGAATCTTATCTTGTAAGGGGATAATCTTACCTTGTCCTACCTCGTGTCCAAGATAAGTTATCGTACCTTTTGCCCAACTACACTTATTCATGTTTATGGTTAACTTTGCGTTTTTCAACACTGTAAACAAGTTCTTAAGGCCTAAGAGATGATCTGCCCAATTCTTACTGTACAAAACAATGTCATCAAGGTAGGCCCTACAATCTGGCACATCCTTGAGTAAGAAATTCATGAATCTTTGAAAAGTAGCAGGTGCATTTCTCAACCCGAATGGCATGACATTAAATTCATACGCACCATCAGGTGTAACAAAAGCAGTAACCTCTCTAGCATACTCTGTTAATGGAATTTGATAATACCCTTTTGACAAATCAAGCTTACTTACATATTCGGCATGACCTATGGACTCTATACATTCTTCCAACAAGGGTAAAGGAAAAACGTCCACTGTAGTGTTCTTGTTCAGTTTCCTGTAATCCACGCACAATCTCCAGGTTCCATCTGGTTTTGGCACTAACAAACACGGAGAGCTCCAAGTACTTTGACTTGGCCGAACGAAATCATGCTGGAGCAGATATTCCACTTCTGCTTGTATAATTTTCCTCTTTTCGGGATTCACTCGGTACGGATGTTGTCGAATGGGGGTGCTGTCCAGGAGCTGAATGTCGTGTGTGATGAGGTGGGTCTGGGTAGGAACCTCCCCAAACAGAGATGTATGGTTGTCCAGCAGAACCTGGAACTCATCACGTTGTTCCTCCTGTAAATGACATAGCATCTCCCTGCCATTGGAACTGGAACTGAGAAGTTGAGTATTAACATCATGTCTCTCACTACAATTATCCTCAGGTGGTAACTCTTCCCGACTAAAACAAGCTACTACACCAGGTCCAACATAAGCTTTTAATCTGTTAATGTGTACAGTCATTTGGGGTTCTGAAAGATTAGGGCTAATTAGTTTATAGGTTAGGTCTCCCACCTTGTCTACCACTTGGTAGGGTCCGGCGAACTTATGGGACATGGAAGTCTCCATACGAGGTTTCAACACCAACACCAAATCTCCGACATCAAACGACCTTAGCTTAGCTTTGAACTTCTTGTCATATCTTACTTTCATGGCTTGTTGAGTCCTTCCCAGATGTTCTTTCGCCAACTCACGAGCCCGACACAACTTAGCCTTGACCTCACTCAAGTACAATCCACTCTGATGAACAGAGACATCTCCCAACAACTTTTCTTGTAGCATTTTAAGAGGACCTCTTACTTGGTGACCAAACACTAGTTCAAAGGGTGAACAGCCCAATGACTCTTGTAGCCCTTCTCTAGCAGCAAACAACACAAAGGGGAGATTCTCATCCCAATTACGTGGATGAGTTTCTCCGGTTGTCTTCAGCATTTGTTTCAAAGTCTGGTGGAAACGTTCAAGCCCACCTTGGCTTTGTGGATGATATGGACTGGATAATTTGTGCCGAATCCCTCGGGATTCGCAAAAAGTTCTGAAAACTTTAGAAACAAAATTTCCCCCATTATCACTCTGAATAACTCTAGGCATTCCAAACAACGAAAAGAATCTTTCAAGACACTTGATGAGATTATGAGCCTTGGTATTCCGTAGAGCATAAGCTTCAGGAAATCTAGTAGTCATACACATGAGAGTGAACAAAAACATGTTACCCGATTTAGTCTTAGGTAAAGGACCTACACAATCAATTACAACATGAGTAAATGGTTCATCAGGAACTACAATAGGTTGCAATGGTGCTCTAGGTACAGATTGATTTGGTTTACCAACAATTTGACAGGGTATACAGTTATGACAATATCTGACCACGTCTTTCTTTAACTTTGGCCAGAAAAAATATTTACTTATCTTATGGTACATATTCGTGATACCTTGATGACCTCCCATGGGGTCATCATGTGCAGCCTGCAGGACCTGCCTACGATAATCATTGGGGACAACGAGTTGGGTTCTAATCTCACAATCCTCTGAAGAGGGAGTTCCCTTGGGTCTCCACCTTCTCATCAGAAGTCGATCCTTGAAGAAGAAACCCGTCCCTTCCTCCAATGCATCAATATTATCAGGAGCCTCAGAAATTCACTTACTTAAACTAGGATCAGTAGTCTGTACAACACTTAAGGGCAATGA